GACACTACAGAAGGGAGAATTTTTCTTCATCTGACTGAAGCCCATGCTGTTTCTGCAAATAGCAGGTAGATTAGCACTCTGAGACAGCCATACTCATGACAGAAGTGCTGACTTTTTATTCGCTTGTTTTTTGTGCTCAGGGAGAAGCCACAGTAGATCTGCAGCTACAAACCTTTTCCTTGTGATTACAGGAGCACTCACTGCAAAATCTCTGTTGTTTATTCCCAAAGAAAAGGGTGATGTCCCTGCTTCCTTATGTTTAATTGCTAACATTATCACAACCATTTGTGTGGAGTCAGGAGACTCCAACCATATCTGGCTAAGGATACAATATAGAAATGATCCGGCCCTGAAAGACTTCTACTCTAAACATATCACTAGAGACAAAAAACAATATAAACAAAATAAACAAATACCAGATGGAAGTTATATGACAGAGAAAGAACAGGACAAGAGTTATGAGCAGCACAACTGCTCATGGGTGAATCTCTGATTTATAAAGATTCTGATCTCAGTGATGTGAATTAGCAATGCTTTGAGAAAGCTGCTTATAAGGGACTTTGGTACAGAAATGTAAAATTCCTGGATTCCAGTCAGGCTTAAGCATTAAATAAATGGTAGTTTAAGACTCTGCCCTGCCAGAAACTATGAACCTCTCCTGAACACACAAATGGGCTGAAAATTGAAGTAGCACGTTAAAGTCAGAAAGTAGAGTCTGGTAGTTTAGCAAGATTTTTAAGACCATAGCTTTGGACATTAGGCAACTACATTCCAACTCAGGTGCTTTCATCTCTTCTCATTATCATCTCTTGGGAAAACGTGGGAGGCAAAAATGACTAGACTAAGAAAAACAGTATCATTAAGGGTTACACTGCATGCAGAATTCATTAGCAACAGTATGTGTTCAATAGAAGAGTAATTCATGAATCATTAGTAATGGCCACTAAGCTCATGGGAAGTATCTTTTTGTAATTACTCTTCGGCAGCAAAAAAAAAGAACTGAAAAACATTGCTAATAGGAAATAAGCTTTATCTCCACAAAATAAACAAGCTACAAAGCTTCATGAAGATGATAGGATTAACATGAACAAGGGTACTTTTTCTGATATTCTTCCCAGTCCTTTTGAAAAGATTGTGGGAAACTCAATGTACTGAAAATAAAATAAAAGACTTCTATAAAGAAATTACTGCATTTTAAAATAACAAACAGACTTTTCATGAAGAATTCAGGTGAGAGTTATACATACTGCTATCACTTTGTTCTACTCTGGCACTTAATAGTTAAGCTAGATATATTTGGAGAATTGCACATGAAAAGTAAAATACTGGTATGGTACTAATTCTCACTGCTCCATATCATATCACAACATGCATATCAAAACTATAACCTCTTCTCATGGTAAAATCTTCATAATAAAACTAAAGCATAATTATGTTTTAAATTATACTAACAAATTACTTATACTATAAAGTATTATTCTAAGTAAAAATAAAGTAGACCTAAATATAAATATAGATTTAAGAGTTTTATTCTATAATTGCATCATATTTCCCTTGCTAATGACGACAACAGAATGTGAAATTGTACCCTTGGTGTGCAATTCCAAGAGTGCTCATATGCCAAAATGGTGTATCTTGCAGATACCAAGAGAATTTTGTCTTGAGATTAGTGCATACCCGCAGGGATAATCTACTTTCACTGGATATACCACTAATAAAGCCAAGCAAAATTAGCACCCTTCTGATTTGTTGTAGTTATTTTCCTAAGTAGCACACTGATACTCCTAACTGTAAGAGCTCTGACTTAACAGTGGCTCAGGCCAACTATTCCAATATTACAGCAGCAGCAAACATGGTACAAGGGTTATAGGAACTATTTAGTCTAAGCCAAAATGACTACAAAAACCATTGTGCCCTTCTAGTCCTGCTCTGGCAACTCATTTTACTTCTAGAAGAATTTGGCTTTGGAACAGGTTGAGTTTAAAATAGCTTCTCAACATCACCACCACCCTTGCCAGGTGTAATTTTGACCCAAGAGTATTTCTCCAGCCCAGCTCAGCATGCCACTACCTGAATGTCTCTCAATGTGTTGACACAAAGGATGGTGTAGAAATGAGGAAATGAGCAGCCAAAGGTAGAAGGGCAAAAGGACTCCTAGTCAGCTTATTCCAGTATAAGTTCTCATGGATACATGAGTCATTTTCACTTGTTAATCCACTGTCTCCTTCCAAGCGATTATTTGAAATGGCCTTTCTAGCTATGGAGATCTTCTCTGAGCTCCCCCATCTTCATTCAGCCTGTGATTCTAGTTTAGATAGAAGTGCATTTTTTTACTTTCAAAATTTGTTACTAGGCGCACTCATTGCACCATGCTCGGAATTGTATTTACAACTCAGCTTCATAACTGGAGATATTTTTAAATTACTGACCATAGGCCAAACTTGTACAGAATTTCTTACTCAGAAATGAAGAGTATGCTTGATAAGAGATGTTGAAGAACACAAAGTAAAACACCAAATCTTGGAGAATTTCAGAACTGCAGTTATTTGGTTCTGATAGGAAATGAAACAGAGATCTTCAAAACTTCTCCACAAATCCCTCTTCAAGTGAGAAGTCAGAGAAAATCTGACAGGATGCTCTACCACATGCCCTTAGGACCAGAAAGTAAGTCCTGCTCCATGCTGTTTATTAGCATACATGTAACCAATGAATCACCCTTCACAGTGGTGGAAGAACCTTCTCTTGCTGATAGCTAGTCTTGTTTTACAGCTGAAATAGCAAGAAAGCAGAAATCCATTTTGAGCACACACACAGGTTCATGCACACACACATGATCAGGTGACAGAAAAAGGGATAGACGAATAACTTGAGTTACATCAAGAATATTTTTCAGATTATTATTACTATTATTATTATTATTGTCAGACAACCAATCTAAATGTCCTATGTCACCTTTACTTTCCAGACATTCTTTATTTAGATTCTACCAATGAACTAATATAATGAGAATATCCCATTTTTAATACCTCTTTATGAACTTCTAAAGTACCTCAATTCCCTTCTTTTTTCTCATTTAGTGCTAGTAGAAGAAAGCTGTTTACAAAGAACTGTTTCTAGCTGTTTCTGTTAAGTTGCAGCTATACTTATCTCCTATTCCAAATTACCAGATGCTTTCCTTTCAGCTTCCATTTTCACAAGTGACCTTTAGATCTGATTAATTATCCACATAAAGGATACTTTAGGATGCCATATCTACGGGTTGCCTTGATGTGATATGCAAATATCTTGCCAAGTGCTGATGCACCCTTTTGTCCCATTCTCCGTCACGTCACTCATTCCTAATAAGCTATGGTGGGCTGGGCAGGGATCGAGACAGTGAGGCTTAACACATGCCTTGACATCCTGATATAAAGTCATCAGTATCAAATATTCCCTGATATCAAAGCCATTTATTATTAAGTACAATATTCTTTGCATACTACTGCACAATACTTGGCAGCTAAACTTTTTCTTGAAGTGTGAATAAATATTATTTTCTGCTTCTTCTCTGTCTACACTTATAGGCAACTTCACAAAGATATTAATCAATTATCAGTGTCGCAAGTTCCTACTTTGAAGAAAATGCTGAAAACAGTGCCTTAGGGTATTTCTTATTTTTATCAAAATTATTATACCTTAATAAGAGTTAATATTTATGAGAAGATACTATGAACATACAGTAATGATTTCCTAATATTGTTAATACCACTGCTAAAATGTCACTGTTCACTGGATAAATAAGTAGCTATTCCATTCTGACTAGCTTATAAAAGGTTACCATTTGCTTCAACCAACCAACATTCATTTCCACATGTAATTAATTTACACATTTTCATAATTTAGAAACTGATAAACTCTGGGCTTTTTTTATAAACTATGCTTTTAAAAGAAACATTTCATTACAATATTCAGATGTATTTGAAGACTTAATATACAGAACTTCAAATACTCACAAGGGTCTGTATCCATACAAACAGAATGCCATAAAAATGAATACATACGGTTGTATTCATGTGTTCATTTTAACTCTTGTAACTCTAAAACAGCATTATTAGCTGCTTTTGAGTATCATATCCTCTCCGTTTCATAGTAGTCAATGTTCTGATAATTAGAGGTAGTTCAAGAGCAATTACAAGATTTATCACATGGATCACCCTTTATTCCTGATCAAATCAAAATCAAGCTTTTTTTTTTCAATCTCCCATGAACTTCAGCAAACTCTTGCCAATATTTCAACCAACAGGAATTGACAAAGTGACAAGACTGAACAACAAATTTCTTTAAGAAACTACATCAAATTCAACAGACTCATTTTCAGCTGGGGTGAGGGAAGAAAAGGGATTAACAGATTTGGGGATCAAAAATTCCAAGTGAATCCAAAGTTTTACCATTATAAAACTAGCATATTTGGATGAAAATCTCTTTCATTGGAGATTTCTAATACATTTTTTCACAATCCTGAAATTCTTTTTCACTGCAGCAACACTGTAGATAAAGGAACTAGTCGAAGTCCATCTTGAAGTTGGAGAGCTAAATAACAAGCTTATGGCCACACAAACATGTGAGGCAGATTGGAAGCTCCAATACAGGTGCCCCAGCTCAGAGGTTTGTAATTTAGTCAAGGACTTCCCATTTTTATTATCATTAGATTCTATTTCTAATCCTGATCCGTGTAACATTAACACACGCACACAACAGTTTTGAATTCTTTACCGTGAACTCTTTGCTCCAAATTAGATGCAGCTGGATGGAGTGGCAATACCCTGAGAGAATTTATGAACTTGAGATGTAATTAAACCTTTTTCAGTTCTATTTTGTTCTAACATATGATACAGAGATCAGTACACAGAAAGAAATCAGTTGGAAGAAAAAATAAAAAGGAAATCTCAACTGTTGAGTCCTGGGGGAAACAGCTGAAAGGCAGGAGTTACAAATTAGTTAATAGAAAGATAAATTTTCACCTGAGGATAAAGCACTGGGGACGCTGCTCCTGGAATAGCATGTGGTATGCTCTTTCAGCACAGGAAAATATATGTGGGGGAAGTGAGGAACACAATTTTCCAGAGTTACTTAAATAAAGCTGGGTGACCTGAAAAATTGTAGAAAATTAACATGATCAATACATTTCAAACTAATTATGTTTTATCCCCCTAATCCCGGGTCTTTTTTAAAGCACCCTAAGCACTATGAACAGAATCTCTGTATGTACATATGTGGTGCCATTACAGTATCTATGAAGATTTTAATTAAAAAAAACAGAGCTGTAAGCATAGAAGATTTAATTAAGATACAAAATTAAACATAACTAAAGGACTCAACAATACTGGTTTGTGCACTAAGTAAAAAAAACCCTAGTAAGTTACTTTTTATATATTCCATTTATAGTTCTTCAACGTCTTGACTTAAACATCTTACATGAAGAAATATGATCACCCCATGAAAAGTTAAAATTGTAATCAAAGGCTTAAGTTATAAACTAATTAATTTATTACATGACAGAGAAGTTTATTACATGACAGAGCAGTTTCCGACAAATACTCTCCACACGATATAGAATAACTTCTGTAATAGACATAGTTGGTAACATGTACTATCCTTAAAGCTTAAGTACAAGTAGAATCAATCATCTCCAGCTGAAACGTCAATTTTTTCTGAGGATGAAATCCTGATCCTGATGTTCTTCTAGCTAATAGCAAGCAAATTTTAGAAAACTTTGTCTGCTAATGTCTACAATTTTGTTCTTTCAGAATAAATAAATAGAACAATGAATATACAGAATGTGATTTAGATAAGATTGTGAGCAGAAACACTGTACCATTTTATAAATATCCTTAAATAAATAATTTTACCTACCTTTTTACATAGCCTTTATCAGACCTTCTCATAAGTTTAGAAAATTAACACAGGCTCTACAGAAACCCATGGCAGCTGTGGGACAATTGGAACACTTTGAAGCATCTAGAATGATACCGGATGCTATCACTTAAACAACCGGATCCCTTCCTTCCCATCATGTACTGTTTTCTCTGGATATTCTCTCTGTCAGACTTTCTACCATGATGCCATTTTGCATTTGCTCGTTTCTCCAAACTAATCAGGTGCTTATCACCCCTTCCTGTGTCATGCCTGTCTTATTGATTTAGATATTGAACTATTGAATCTTGGGGCATCTACAACGCTGTGGCTGAATGAATCCTCCCCAAAACAGCTCTGTTCTCATTTAGGCCTTTCGAGCTACCAGACTAAACGAGACTAAATCCGCACCGATTCTCAAGGAATCGTTTCAGCATGTCACAAAGCAGAAGGAAAAACCTCCACATACTTATTCTCATTGCATAATGTTGCAAGTGCTCTGCAAGTTTACATATTTTTCTAACACACAATCTTCAAGAATATATTTGCCCTAATTGGACACAAATAAATTCTGCACAAATGTAATAAAGCAGGACGACAGCAGCACAAGCTGCTTCTGCAGTTACTATCATACCTTTGAAGTGGTTTCTGCAGGATCTTAGCAATATAGTGCTACTGTAATGTATATTGTAGTAGTACAGTGTATTTCTGTGTAAAAATGCATTAATATTATCATCTAGCAATTGCATTGAATTGCATAGGAAGCAGTCTATATCCGTGTCCATTAACATATGATTCTTTATGTAATTCAGAGTGAATAATTGCTTATAAAAAGATTTATTTTAGTAGTATTCTATTGGAGCTAAAGTGTGAGAGGTCAGTGTAGGATAACAAAATAAAGATTGCCGAGAAGTTATGAAAAGTGTTTTTAAAAAAAGGGAAGAAAACCTAAAGTGTTGCTATTATTGAAAAATGTACACGATAATCTTTTCAATGCTTCATCCTGGGCATAATAGTATCATGCCCAATATATCCTTGCATTCTTTTTTCGACAGCTAACAAATCGCATACCTGAAACATAAATGTTAACTAATGAGCCACATCATATAACATGTCAGTGTCTACTGAGAAATTGGCATCATCAGTTTTTATTACCTTAGTATACAGACCATCTAACACTTACAGACTTCAATATAATACCAACTAAGCTGCTGCAGTATATTTGAGCATTTCAAAAACAGAGAAAACAAAGCTAATTTACAACCATGTTTTTTTGATCATCTGGGAAATACCTGCCTAATGCACAATAGCATGCAGATAGTAACGATGGAGTAAAAGCAATGATGGTCCAAGGAGACACAAACAATTCCAGGACAAAAAGTGTCTTGTGCTAAACTTGCTAAAATATATCTATCACAGAGATGTCAAGAGAAGATACAGCAAACATTCAGGGAACATATTAATATGTAAGCCTACCACCTAAATTCTTTTTCGTTACAGTTATCTCTTGGTGCACAAAATCATGCATCTATCTAATGTAAAATACACGGTGACAGGAAAAAACATCATCATCTAAAACCCTGGGGATGATGGATGGTTTCCATTTCTAGAAACTAAATTTAGACTCCCAACTTGGAATCTGCTGCTACTGCCATTGAATGTCACAGCATTTCTTTCTCTCAGATTTACTGCTCATACACACAAACCCGCATGACATAGCAAAGAGCCACAGACTCGTTTGCTTACCAAATTTTGACCCCTTTATAATTCTTGTAAGCTATATAACATATTTGAACACTCGCTAACACAACAGCGAGCCTGACGTCTGTGCAGGAATGTGATCTTAGTGCAACAATGAGAAAATAACGGTGGAGAGAGGGAAGAAATCAAGAGTCACGCTAATGCTCTGTCTCTAAAATGGATGAGTGAGGATGAAGCAGGGATCAAATAATTTGAATTTATGTTGCTCTCAGTGATCTACAGATTCCACTTAAGTTAGTATCAACATCTAGGCGCTGAAACGATAATCCCTTTGTAAACAACCAGTCTGTCTTGTAAGAGATTAGAAAGACGAGGATAATAGTACTCAACAGATAAACACCTGAAGCACTTCCTAAGAGGCCTGGTGCATATGACAGTGCACACACGGACTCGGGCTCCCTTTGCCCACATCCTGCCTGCGCCCAACACGAGCCACCGCCGTACGGCCGCCCCAGCACAGCGCTGAGCTGGTGCCGAGCGTTCCGCGCTCGCTGCCGCATGGCGTCTGAACTGCGCGGCCCGGTGCGGAGCACGGACAACCGTTTGAGTCTTTCCGCAAGGAAATTCAAGGTTGTTCTCTCCGTAACCGTGTTTTGGGCAAGGGGGGTGTGAACTCAACCAACCACTGCGGGAAGTATGCGTCTATTTTTGCAAGGTTGGCAGTGGCAGAAACCACCAAGGTCATGTCACGCATCAGCAACTATTTTTAAACAATGGAAAGTGCTGCTGCTCATACAAAACTTTATCAATATTTCATACATAAGACACAGAAAAACCAGTGTTTTCTTGGAAGAAATTAAAAAATTTTTGCTAAAATTTTAAAACTAAGATGCTCCTAACATAAAAAAGGGCATATATGTTAATTAATTTTAGGAGTTTGGCCTGCCAAATGAACTATATGAATCCACTGAAAAAGATCCACACTGTAACAGTTTAAAGAGCGAATGCTTACCATGGTGGAATAGATAGGCAGTTCTTTAAATGGGTTAACAAGCAACAGTATATCACCAATGTAGGTCTGAAAAAAGAAGAAGATATAATTTCTTTATTAAGTAATAAATTAAATCTTTAAGCAGGCTAATGGTTTTCTTCCAGAACAGACTTTTGGCAAAGCCTCTTAAATCTAGCTATCAACATACTAAACTTAATTCGCAAATTCAGAACTTTTAACTTCATAACTTTAAATTGAGATCAAAATTTACAATTCAGATAACATTAATTATTCTTTTTGTAATAAAATTGAGTTCATAATGGAAAGTTATGCATAGAAGAATTGCACTGCATATATTATTGGTAGATTATTTGAAAGTTAATTTGTGATTTACTATTTGTTAAACTACAAAAATGCGCCATGCCTACCAGATAAGTTCCTCAAGAAATTTTTTGTGGGATAGATGACACAATTTAGAAATGCTATATTGATTACATTGAATTGATACATTAAAATACGTTGCTTGGGGGATAAGACAGAGCAACTGATACATATGTAAGTATTTATTCATGTGTATGTCTATATGAACATATGTACATGCAGATAGAAAAAAAATCCTGGCTATATTAAAAATAGGAAACCATCCAACGATTGCAAAGGTGCCAAGATTTTATTATTTCATATTTAAACACTTATATGTGAAAGATGTATGCAAGTATAAGATTGAAGGTCCCCCTTGCTGCTATACTTCTCACTGCACATGAGTAGCTGCTGCCATTATCATGCTCTTAGAACGCAATAATGCCAGACCTCTGTCTCTGAAGAGGTCAGACACCAAACCATCATGTGAACTGTCCCAGTCATGCTGCCTTTTTCAAAATGAAGTATTTTGATTTGGGGAGGCAGAAAATATTGCCTTTCACAGTAACTGTACTATTTTTCTCCTGAAAGGTAGTAATTTACTTCCTCTCTCACCCCCCTCTAACTTCACTGTTGGATTTTCCTGCAGAATGGAACTTTATTAAGCTTGCTGAAACATGAAACAGAACATGTTCAGTGCTAAGATTTTGGTTGGGAACTAGAGTCCAAGGACTTTTCCTTTTAAGTCTGAGAACCAAATCATCCAAAGATGCAAGGGTTTTCAGCATTGGTGCTGACACTCCACAAAAGCACAGTGGTTGCTGTTGAGCAGAATATTAGTGATCACTGCCTATAAATTTTCATTAAGCTAAGGAGAATAACAGAGCAGGGTATGAGATCATCTTAGGTAGAATATTCAGTATTTTAAAATAAAAGACGACTTCCTTTTTATAAACATTGAGTATCTGTAGATCCTCCTGAATTCTGTTAAAGTTACCTGTGTTTGGAGCCTTTGAAAGTGAGATAAAGCAAAAGAAATACTCATAATAAAATAGGATTTAATCCATGATTCTAAAACACAGAATTTTTATTATCATTGAATGCCATAACAGCTAGAATTGAATTTCCCAAAATTTCAAAGGTATTCACTGAAACATGCCAATTCTCCATAATCTTCAGTCTAAGCAGTGCAATCAACTTACACATTTAAAAACAATTTGCATGTTTCACATCAACATGTCACTCAACTGTTCAGTAAGTTATAAATAAGTTATGAATAATATATAAACAGGGATACTGAAATTTTCAAGTGCAGATTTTTCTCCAGAATAATCTACACCTAACCAGATGCCTCTTGAGTTTAATATGGCAAAACCAGGAAAACTTGCTTTGCAAAAACCTTGCTATAATTAATTAATTTGATATCTAGATTTGGGATAATAATTTGGGATAATCTAATTTGGGATAAGAATTTGGGATAATCTAGATGATTAACATTACAATATAGAGAATGATTTCTGTAACATAAGATATGATGAGTAATTAAATCTCCCATGTTGAATTCTAAGCTTCTTAAATCTAAATTTCTTTTAAATTTCCAGTAAACATGTGCTAAATTAAAAATAAGTTAACATAATGTTAAAGATGGAAGGATCTTTTCGTAGTTTGAGAGGGAAGACTACATGTGCCCATCAATTTTTACCAATGCACTTGCTCTGTGAAATAAACACACATAAATTCTATACAAACCTATCTGAAGTGTTATTCCATTTTTTATTTCTGCTTTTCCTATATAAACTTGAGAAATTACACACATACACCTTGATCTATTTCAATATTATTCATGAGTCTGGGGCAGGTTACTGTCTAGTACTTATGATAGTATTCCTGTTTTTCCTATTGTCTCATTTGCTCTTTTTTGAAAGTTTACTGTTGATAGGTGAGTAGCAACTCACATATATCTGATTATTATTGAAACGCTTCTGAATCTCATAAAGCAGGCTGCTGTCTGTTAGCTCACTCAGAGAAGCCAGGTCATCATTTGGAGCTGGAGGCATTAGCTTGATCTAGAAAACACAAATTAGAGAAATAAAGTAACTTCACAACCAGTCATTCTGTACCATAACATTCTAACCTAAAGTATAAACCTAGATCACTAGAATTTAGGGAAAAAAATGCATTAGGAAACTGGGAAGTTGTCACTCTTCCCAAACAATTACACATCATTAATCTTAAGCAAGAAAATAACATCAAAAATTATTATCAATATTAAGGTATATAACTGCATGAGTCTGATGGGCTCTTAAGAACACAGATCCCTGCTAGAGTGCCATTTGCTATCCCTGAACCCATAAAGATTCCCAGCTTAAATCCAGTTCTCCTGCTCTCTTGATTCAATGTTTACGGCAGAAGAAATCAAGACAATAAAAGTTAGTGCACTTGCAAACTATTTATTGCACAGTATTTACAAAGCTCTCATACCACTCTTCATCATACAGGATTTAAAATTCTATTAGAATTTTTCCTGCAGAATAAAAGGAAGTTAATAAGGAGTGGGAATCACGTTGTCAAGGAGACCAGAAAAGATTCACAAGCAGCTACTTTAGCCAAAAGTGGTGAATGAAATGAGCTTAACATTTTTGAGATTTGGGAGGAATAATATAATCTCTGCAAGGTGAAGTAAATGCTAAGGGAACCAAAACAAAATCCAAAAGACAGAATAGGACGCAGAAGAAAAAAGAGTCGGTGATAAGGGAAATTTGAATAAAGACAAAATAAACATTGATACATTAAGCAGTGTGCTTATAAATTATGATCTACACTTAAAATGTAGGTTGATTCCTTTTTTATGTCAGCTCAAAGAAAAACATGTTTACATCTCAGCAGAATACCTAGAAACAGAAAATTGTCATGTAATCTATGGCAAAATTAATTGAATATTTTGTTCAGACTTTACTAAAATACTCTCTTGGTGTTTGTTTAGAGGATGGACAATGAAGATGAAACTTATTTGTTCTACTGTTCTGCTTAAAATGAAGGCTCAGGAGAAAAGTGGACATTGCCCTTTCTTGGAGAACAACTCGGCATCCTCAGCCTCTGGCAGTGGGATGTGGCAGGAAGTCAGTGAAAGAAGCAGCAAGCAGAGTGGGAGATTTTTGGAGGGAACACGGAGTGTGCTGGCAAGAAGAAGACGCCAAAGACTATGAATACCGGTGTTTGATACTGGGGATCTGATCCCAAACTACTGAACTTCTATTGTTGGCATAGGTTCAAGGTCTAGTTCAGAAATCACGGCGCTCTGGGTTCTCTTCCTACACTTGTCAGAGCTGCACAGTGTGATATCGCTGAAGAAATTCATCTTAATGAAATAAGACTAACAATCTCTCTTCATCTCAAAGTTTCCAGATTCTTGAAACATACGTACACTCATTCACATGAGATTTTTTAGGTGACAATGGGCAAATACTGGGAAGTTCCTAGTCATAAACGAGCAGGATGAATTAGATGTGATTTTGTATCTTATCTAAATCACAGAACAAATAGGAGTGTTGAATAACAGCATCAAAATATTCAATGTATAGTCATAAAACAGATGGCATTGCTTCCTCTTTTACCAGGAAGAAACAAATACTGCATACCAGATATCACAACTACAGAACCACCAGCCCTTATCACAGAATCACAGAATCACAGAATCGTT